GGTAAAATAGCGAAATCGAAGTATCAACGGAGAAAATATTATGTAATGTGTTTTATTGGGATTTAATTTATTGAAGCATAGCCAGTCAATTCGTTACTGACAGTGGCAGATAAACTTACATCTCTGTCACAACAAAAAATACTAGTACCATCAGCAAAGAGGATACTCTTTAAAACATTGGAGACATTTACATAATGTCTTTTATAAGGTAGAAATAACCAAACGGACCCTTCTGGAACCCCATGAGGCACGCTTCACTAGAGTATACTGCAGCTTGCTCACTAGATAATCAGACAACGAACTTTCAGATCTTTAATGACCTTACTTACCTCTGTGGGGTAACACAAGAAAAGCTTTGAGGAAAGGGATAACAACCGCTTAAATAATCTGTTGGACGTGCGTTAGTCCAATGGGTTAGAGTAAGATTATTTAACAAGATTTTTTTTATACTGTTTTTATACTGTCTGCTTGCGTTTTAGACGTAATTTATGATATTTCATTACTCCATTTTAAACACAGTACCGGTCTTCACATACAAAAAAGTAAGAATATGGAACATGAACTAGCCGCCACCTTCCACAGGTGTGCAATAACCTATCGGCCCACGGAGAGAGAAATGTTCTGGTCCAGAGAGAGTTCAGCGTCTTTACCTTTTATAATAGCATCATCATGTCCGTCATTCCACTTATCTTCGTGCTGTTCATGGGAGCTTGGAGTGACAAATATGGCAGGAAGGTAAGTCTAAATCGTTCTTTCTTGGATATATTTATGCTCTGCTAATACACTGAGATTTGCAGTATATTTCAGTTTATACTTATTTGTCTAAACAGATTCCCTTGTTAATAACGCTGACTGCTCATGTAATGTATGCTGGAGGATATCTTTTGAGCAACTGGCAGACGTCTTGGCCCGTCGAGGTCATCTACTTCGTCACCGTCTTGGAGGCTTTGGGCGGCGGCAACGTGGGCCTCTTGTCTACCACCATCAGCTACATCAGTGATATTTGCCCCGAGAAAACTCGCACCTCTCGAATCAGCACAGCTAACTCTCTGTGGTACCTCGGGGGTCCTGTGGGCACTCTAGTTGGAGCGCTAGTCATCGAGTACGGCGGCTATAACTTGGCTCTCCTGCTGGTTCTGCTGGCCTACTTCTTGGCCGTCCTGTACGTGGTGTTCGTCATCAAAGAATCGCACGGACCTTTCGCCAAGACGGATTTGCAGGCCCACGAATCAGCCAAGCAAGAACCAAGTCCCGACGGCAAGGGTGTGTCCAAGCTGCGCATGGTGTCCGATTTCTTCAACTGGCGGCGTGTAGTCGAGTCCTTCAAGACGGCGTTCAGACGGCGCGAGGGCAACACTCGAATAATTCTTCTGGCCATTGTCTTATGCAACATGATTCGGCGGGCTGCTAGAGGTAGGCGGTGTACCGCGTTAAAAAAAAAAATACTCTTACAGATGAATGGAAACAAAAGAGACCAATATTATGAGATAGTAGTGTTTAATCAGACTCCAAATGATAATTAGATATCAAGTAGGGACATGTTCCAGGTTTCTTCATGTACATGTTTGTGCGTCGGGCGCTTAGTTGGGAGGCTACCGACTATGGCTACTGGGCCACATATCGGAATCTGCTGGCGGCCATTGGTAATTCGGATTTGTGTTGTATGTTTATGGAAGATGTATAACACTCATTGCGCTTGTTCCAGTGTCTTACTCATCTACATATTTCCAAAAGCTTTTTATTTTAATAACTACAAATCATATTATCCAAGGTTCGCTGCTGCTGGTCCCGGTCCTAACCAAGTCACTGGCAACCACGGACGTTTTATTGATAATAATGGGATCTGCTTCCCTTATCGGAGAATATATCTGTTACGGCCTTGTCAGCGGCTTGCCTCAGACGTTCCTCATGTGGCTTGGGCCTCCTGCCGGAATAATTTCAAACGCCAGCGTCATCGCTTTCAGATCCATGTCCACTAAGCTTGTCACCAAAGAAGAAAAAGGTATTTTTTTCATATCCATCATTAACACGGTTCACTGTAATTTCACTTCCATTAGAATGTAATACGTCCTTTCGAAAGCAAAGTCGATTAAAGGGTGATGTTTCGCCAGGTCGCATCAGTGCTGTCATGGCCGCCATGAACGGCTTGATGCCCATGGTCGCCTACGCCGCCTATTCCCCCATTTATTACGTGACTGTCGAGACCTTCCCCGCAGCACAGTTCTTCTTCGGGGCCTCACTCAACTTCTGCGTCGTCGTCATGTTCACGTGAGTCGCTCCGCTCCGCAAATTTTATCTACTGCATTTCTCACTCCTGTCTCCATAGGTCTGTTTTAAACCACATTGTAGAACATGTTAGTATAATCATAGTACTTTCTAGTTTCCTGATTAAATATATCTGTGTGTATGTGTGTGTGTGTGTGTGTGCGTGTGTGTGTGTATGTGTGTGTGTGTGTGTGAGTGTATATAATATACATATATATGTATGTATACATATATA